ATTGCCTGACCTTCCCCACCCACCCTCCATATGTTTTTAGGGATATAGGATTTCAAGTAGTGCCTTAGTTCCAGTTATTCGTGCATGTCAGTCTTCTGTATCTAGGCTTAGTTTCAGCTGTTTTGTTAGTGTTGTAACCCTAATGGTTCATCATGTTGATATAATAAAGGTTGGACTGCATGGTCGGCTTAGCATGGCTCCCAGTTGTGTGTGAAAACACCCATTTTCGGGGTTCAGGCTGAATGGGTTCTTATAAATTGGGTATTTTGGGTGAAGTCAGCCTGAAAGTGTTCTCAAATGTTCTTAATTTTTTACTTCTAAACAGATGTAAGGGATTTACAAACTACGATGAAATACATAACTTATAATTGTAATTATAAGACTTTTAATTCTAAATACAGTTGTTGTACATTTGCTATACACAGCAAGTGAAATTACTAGCATTTATACAGAGATCTTAATGCAATACCACAGTAAAGCTACAGACACTGTTTGTTCTATTAAACTGAAAAGGGAAGAGTTTTTATATATAAGAACAATTTTCAATTTTCAGGCTGAATGTGTTCTTATATATATACTCCTTTTTTACCAAATTGCAGCCTGGGTGATCTTAATCCACATGTTCTTGTATGCGGGTTTTTACTGTACCAAATTTACATGACTAATTCATGAGAATAAAGGCTGATAGTTTCTAATGAAACTGTTTGGGGCTGTGTCGGTGGGGGTAATGAAATAATTTCAATATATCAACAAAGTTGAAATGGTAAATTGGCCACCGTTACGATCATAAAAGCTGACGTTTCGAGTGTTAGCCCTTCGTCGGAGCTAATAGGGGAATTGCGGGTTGCGTGTGCTTTTAAAGGTAGCTTCCTTTTTCTCGAAACGTCAGCTTTTATAATCATAGCGGTGGCCAATTTACCATTTCAACTTTGTTGATATATTCAAATTATTTCATAAGAAAATGTGTAGCAGCTGACGGGGAGAATTAACAATTAGATCTTGAGAGTTATTGGGTTAGGGAGACTACTCCACCCCTTTTAGGCCTCTTGCATGACCACTACTGTTCTTGTCCTTAGGGGACTCTTTACATAGAGTTGGGGGGCCCCAGGAAGGTGAGGTAACCCAACTGGGTGGGGTACCTGCCTGTCAGTATAATCTCCTATTTTATCTTGATAATGTTTAGTACATGATGGGTGGGGTTACCCACCTAGACAGGTTGTATGATCTGCCAGGTTGGGTAACCCTGTCAGCTGGGGTCACAATTTGCTTTGTAAATGTCTTTAGCTGGGGCAGGTTGCCTAGGCAGTTCATGTTACATTTGCAAGCATGTCAACAAATCTCCACAGGATCCAAAGGTTGTAAGTTAGACTCCCGGTTAGCTCAATTGGTATAGCGCTGGACTGTTGTGCAGGAGGTCCAGAGATCGACTCCGGCCGGACCAACACTCAGGGTCTTTCAATAACTGAGAAGAAAGTGCTGCCTTTGTAATAATATCTGCAAATGGTTAGACTTTCTAGTCTTCTCGGATAGGGACGATAAATGGAGGTCCTGTCTCACAAGCCCTTATATGTGATAAAATTGTGGGACATTGAAGAACCCACACACTCTTCCAAAAGAGTGGGGCACGTAGTGCCCAGTGTTGTGGTCTATCTTTGTGTAGTGTCTAATCTAGGGTGAATTGGGGAGGGAAGGTGAGATCAATACATGGACCGAAGTGGCTGCATAGTGCGCCTGATGAATTCTGACGTCTGATGTTACCTTAACTGATTGTAAAGTGCAACTGATTATCTATATAGTAGTTTGCCCTATATAAATGTTAAATTATTGTTGTTGTTGTTGTTGTTGTATGTAAATGTAGGCTTTTTCTTACCGTCGTAGGGTCCCCTACCTCCATGTAAACATTCCCTTAATCAGCTAAGCCCTGGCATTTTACTGTAAAAACTGACCCTCTTGGAATCAAAACCTCCCTCTATTTCAAAAAGATGTTAAAACATCTTTCTTATCATTTTCATACAGGCAAACCTTTCCACATTACTGATCCTAGCAGTATGAAAGACCTATGTCATATATGAACTTACCCCACTGTAAAGCACTAGAGTGCAGAGGAATTTATTCCTCACGATGAATCAAAGCTGTTTTCATTGTCCACACTCCAGATAAAACTTATAATAATCTGTCTTTATAAACAAACCTTTGATAATGATCTGCTAGAGTTGCTCCCCATCCTCCTTCGCTAAAAGATTCCTGTTAGAAGTACAGTTTAATAAGTTTCATCTTAATATCTAAGATGCAAAGTTTTTGGTGAGACATTAATTTTTAATTAATGTTATTCAAAAATAACATCTGTGCCAAGAAAGTTTTCAAAAATTTATTATACCCATTTTAAAATCACTTGTGATCCTTGCAATCGGATTGGCTATCATTATTATTTTATACTCTAAATTGCATCTTTTTTCTGGCCAATGAGACAGCTTTACTTTACTACAACACAACAATCAATCAAACAAAATTCTTAAAAAAATGATCAAATTGCAGGAAAATGACTGAAAAATTTTGCAAGTTTTCACCAACTAGCTTAATATACTGGATCAATAAAATATTTGTACATACGAAAAAACCTTGTATTGAGTGACTGAATTTTGCTTCATGTCATGCAATTTTGGTCCGAAATCATACTTGTGATTTCAAATCAAACATGCACTGCATGCTTATTTTATTTTGAAGTCACACCTATGATTTCAGACCAAATTGCACAACACAATGTTCAACTGCCATTATAAATCTGTATCTGGGAAACAAAAGAAATTAAATGGTAGGGTTGTGGTGAAGGAGAGGGGACAGTGGCCTAAAAGTAGGAGCTTCCATGGAATTCCAAAGCCATATTGCCAAGGAAAGTTTATGTCAGTTTAGTATCTCATTAATGGGGTAGAGTGGCTACAGCTCAAGGCCAGTTTGTTCAAAGCTAGGTCAAGGTAACCCAAGGTTGTTGTGAAATCTAATTTGAAAGCTTTAAAGCTTTAGTACTATTCCTTTTGTCTACAATTTGATGGTTCGATACGTTAAAATGAATAGAGAAGATTATCCGAAAAGGCTTTTGAACAAAGGAATAAAGAAACCTGGATTAAAAGTTAACCCTGGGTTAGCACTAGTTGGACTTTGAACGACCAGACCTTCCCTATGGTTGAGAGGCCAACGACAGCAAACCCTTTATAACCATTCAACTGCTATAACATCCACACACTGTCCAGCTAGCAGGTGCTGAGAATAAGTGGTTTGCAACCAATCTCTAGAGACACAGGTAACAATGGTGAAACGAACAAATGCTGGTGGACAAACAAAAGGAGCTAATGAGATATCTTTTGTTGACGTCCACCAACATGGTGGCATGGTGCAAACCACCTATACTCAAACTTATCAGCTAGAAGTTTCTATCTTGATCTAACATCAAATGCTCATCACTAATTTAACAAGGAAATGCGTAGCTTCTAGAAGGGAGAATAACAATCTAATCTTGGAAGTTAACGGGTTTAATCACAAACTTTCGCCGATGTTTTCTTTTCTAAAGAAAGTATTTGCAAACTGAGTTATGGGATTGTATGGAAATTTTGTCTTTTCGATTAACAGTCCAATGCGCTCACCATTGTGGTAATGCGTCTTTTAGGAAAAGAAAATTGAATGTAACGCGATGGGTGCTAGCAGGTCGCTATCTCGTGACGTGGCGACAACGTTCTGCAGCGTTTATAAAGCCTGGCAGTAGAAGACTTTTGTGCACTTCCGTTAGACAGAAGGTCTGAAACTGATGGCCAATAATTTCAAACTTACCTGAGTTAAAGAGTCCCCGAAGAGTACAAGTTTTGGAAATAATTTCACCGCCATCTAAACCGAAAGAATGCGAAGAGAAACTGGGAACTAATTGAAGTTAAACTAGTAACCAGGCTTTCCTCGACTGTGACTGTGATCGTGTGACTTCGTACAGAAGTTCTTTGGGCAACTTCCCTACCCTAGCTCGCCTTGCCACCTCAATGAGTTATTGATGTGCTTCTGCGGCTACTCAAGGACGATTTGTTTTTATTACAATTTAATGGCATATTTACAGGAGAAGAGAAAGAAAAAGAAAAAACAAATGCCATAAGGTTGATTTGTAAAAGAGTAGCGTGACCCCATATTAAAACAAATCACCTCATAAAAATTACAGTAAGCTCGCGAAAAAATTGTCGAAATATTTACAATTTTGTTACAAATTTAATAACACTAGCTTTAAGCTTGTCAACATTGCATGCCGAACGGACCTCAAGAGCGCTTTTGATGCGCTTTTGATCATTTCATGTTAAAAAGCGCACTACAAATTAATAAATTATTATTAATTATCATGAGGCAAATTGTTCCATTCGTCCAAAATCCTATAAAAGTGACTATTTTTAAGTATGTTTGTCCTAGCATATTTCTGTTTTAACGATTTAGTATCAAAATGTCTCAGTAAGTAACGGTCCTCTAGGCTATAAAAATCTTGGGGTGTATATTTCTATGGACCTTACTTAGTCGACTCATTGCAACTATATAATAAAGAAAGCGAACCGTCGCCTCTATGCTCTTAGAAAACTGAAAGCTTGTTGGGTACAAGATGGGGAGTTGGTGGCTGTGTACTGCTCCCTGCTAAGACCTGTCTTAGAGTATCTATATTACATGGACCGGTTCCAAGATCGACCCTTGAGTACACCGTAAGCTACATGGCGCGGACCTGACACCTCACATCCATTTCTCACCCGCTGGGTCCTGTCCGTTAAATAGCTTCAAAACCATTCCAAGGCCTGCATAGATACGCCCATTTCTAGAAGTTTACGTAAAAAGGATCCCATGCTCGATGCTGTCAAAAGCCTTCGACAAGTCCAACAGAACCAATGCTGTGACTTGTTTCTGATCCATTGCATATCAGACATAAAAACAAGAAGTGTTTCTGTCGAGTACTTCTTCTTGTTTCCATTTGATGTTCAGTTAAACAGTTCCGACGTGTTGTATACTCTGTTAACTGATTGAGAGCTTTCCGTTCAAAGATCTTAGACAGAGCGGGAAGCAGAGATACTGGCTGGTTGTTATTGGCAACTTCATGATCTCCCTCCTTTAATATTGGTATTACTACGGATTCTTTCCAAGCAGATGGAAAAACCGATGTTAAAAGTGATGTATGTACGTATGTATGTAAATCTTTATTTAAACACGGAAAATTATCAGTTACATAATAAAAACTGAGATTAATCAACTCCTTTACATGATTGCCGTGTGGGAATCCTCTATATCGACTACGTTAACATTTCGCCAAAAATGGTTAATGGATGAAGCATTTTTTAAGTTTTTGGGCAATTTATTCCATAACATGGCCCCGCTGTAAGAGAAGCTTCGTTTCAAATAATTGGTGTTTGATTTGGACAAGGTCAGGACTGAAAGTATAACCGGTAGGGCATCTTTGATCACACTTAGTGTAACTTCTCCATTCCTGGTGCCCTATTTGAAGGAAAAGACACAGTGATCTTGCGTACTTCAAAGGTAGTGACTGCGCGGAATCGGAATTCCTCTAGTTGGAATATGGTCTTAGCTGAGGGGGCTTTATACGCTGGAAGAGCGTTAACTGAAGCAAGCCTCGCAGATTCAGCTGCAGCCCTCGCTCCCACAGAAGTAAAGAACTCGTTGGCTAGTTCTGTCACATCCCATGAATACACCGGTCTCGATCTCTCTTTCGTCGGGATACACGGTTTCGTTTCACCTTCCACATGGCACTGCTACTCTGATTATCATTTATCTCCTTTTGAACATAGTTCCTTTCAGCATCACATAGCCTTATTACGACACCAACGGTAATGTTCCCAGTCTATAGCAGCGCCCGACTCACAAGCAACTTTGTATACTTGATCTCTCTCATCCATCAACTTCTTGATCTCTTGATCTAGAAATAGACATGGCCGATTTCTGACTTTCCTTTTCCTGGCAGGCGCATGACGTTCCAGGATTTCCAAATATTTTCCATTAAAATATTTGTGGGAGCCATCCACTTGTTCAAGCTCAGGGCCTTGATAAGAATGGCGTCTTCATTCTCAAACTTGTGGAAAACGTTTTCTGTGACACCAAATTAAATCACGCAAGGTCTCTGAAATTCCGGTTTTAATGCTAACAACTTCACTCGCTTCTTGCGACAACAAAAAAAACAAAGAACGTCACCGAAACGTTCTGCACGCGGTAAACTAATCTGAATAAGGCGAGGCCGCCAAGTCACACTCGTCATGAGCCGTTACGCAAAGCAAACAAAACATTCTGAACAAACTTGCCCTTAACGACAACATTGCAAAGCCGATGGACGTTGGATCCAAATCATCAATGTTTGAATTTGTATCCATCGTTGAAGTTGAGGGTTGTCCTTTCGTCGGCGAGTCAAACAACGCCTCCCTGCTAGATGTGGGTTTTGCATGTGCCGGCGAGCGGACACGCAAGCTCTTTCTACCTGGACTTTTTCCTGCCGGTGTTGAGAACTTTCATTTCCACGAAACATTGCGGGAATCCTGACATTGAGAAGCGGCCTTATTAAACAATTCATAAAACTGGCAAAAACTGTTAGCTTTTCTTGCACAAGGAAGGCATATAATTTGAGATATGTGCGACTTATTTTCAAAGTGAAAACCGACTGTTCGAAGGCGATCGGCGAAGACACACTGAAATTCTTCCCTTTGACTCTGATTAAAAATGTTTACAAAACTCTTGAAGCCACTT